GCAGGTGAAAACCAGCAGAAAGGGTTTCAGCTCTTTAGGAAGCGAGAGATGGGTTTTCCTCAGTGAGTTTTTGCACTCGTTTTAAGCACTCTCTTTTTCTCGATTCAGTGTGATCTGGTCACACTCGGAGCAAGACTGAGAAAAGAATATCAGGGGCTTTTGTTGATTTCTTTTGCATTCAGCTTCCTTTCTGTGGGGTTTGATTTGTTTTCTTTTTAAGCTGACACTCTGAAAAGCCCACTGCTATCTTTGTTTTCCCTGCAAAGATAAAAGCTGAACAACTGATGGCTTCACGCCCTCCATCCAGCTGAGGAAAATTGGCTATTGGGCTCTAGCAAATGGCCAGTTTTCTTTCTTTCTTCAGGAACTAAGGTCCCATCCTGTTGGCCACAGTCTCGCCCACATTAATTAGTGTTAATGAACCCCTGATTGCCATTTCCAGGAGCAGTGATCCCACCAGTGAGGAGGACTATGGCTGCACTCATTGCCTGCTCCCCTCTGTTGCATACGAGATCCCTGGCTTTGCTTGGGCACTGACCTAAACCCCGAGCTGCCAGCAGTGACCTGGCAGCGGAAGGATCATTGCCCGAGTCATTGGAAGTATTTACTGATGCCGAGTTGAGAACTGCCTTTCAGGAAAGAGATGGATGTGACCTGAGGAGTTTAGCAAGGTTTAGCCAATGCCCATGATTACGTGGCCTAATCTAAATCAGAGATCAGTTCAATCTAACCCCATCGGTGGCTCAGCAGAGGTGTATCCCTGTCGGTGGCTCTGGAGGGATTAGCTGAACTCTCCAGGTCCCTTTCTCTCTTTTTCTCCCTTTGGAGGTTCATAGCTCTGTTCTCAAAGACACTTCCTACAATTTCAGCCTTAAGTATGTTTGTTTGCAAGCGCAAAGCTTGCGTTTGAGCTTGTAAAACAAAATCCTTGTGCACTAGGGTGATTTTTTTCTCCTAGGGCAAATGAGTCTGTTTAACCAGATTTAGAAGAGGAAGCTAAAACCTTTGCAGAGCTGTTCTGCAAGCTCCTTTGGAATGTGGGATGAAGTGATTGATCACAGAATGTACCGTTTTCTTTTGAACCCGGTACACCACAGAAGCACCCCAGGCCATGCATGGAGCTAGAGGCTTTTTCTCCCCTAGTACAAGTGAATGGGAAGAGCAGAGGTGATTTCATTATTTCCATGGAGCCTGTTTTATTTCTGGGCATATTCCAAGGCAGTGGCTATGGGGTTTATTTTAAGTGCAGAACTAATCTCTCTTGCAGTTTTTAGTCATCTAGAAACTGGAGAAACAGCAAAGGCAGGTTAGTGTTTGGGAGAGGAAGAGCAGCCCCTCTGTGCCAGTGGGAAGGGAATCGCAAGTAGGAAGCAACCCAATTTTATATCAGAAGTTATTTTTGTGCTCTTTTGTATCTCTGCATTTTGAAGGTGAGGTTTGGATATTGAATATATAGCAAATCTTACTTGGTTTCATTGAGAGGAAGGGTATTTAAAGGCACGGATGAGGTGGGTTCTCAGGAGTTAAATGTACTATTTCTGAGTGGCTGGAGAGATGCGCAGAGAGAGAGAGAAAGAGAGAGATGATTACAAGCTGTTGTCAACGTGATGAAAATTTCACTTATTCCTTTTGCCTTTTTAATTGCTTAGGGGGAAAAAAAAAGTAACAAGCACATTAGTTAAGCCTGTTCATTTACTGTTTTGTGCCTCAGAGAGTGAGAATGAGACATCCATAATTTTTATGAGAAGATGCTTCCTAAATATTCAGCACTAGGAAAAACGAAACACCACCGCCACACCATTATTTGCATCATAAATCAAGACTCGCTTGATCTGACAAGGCCACTTGTTGGACTCGCAGCTTCTTTCTTAACTGGAAAGCCAAACCAAACTCGCATTGCTCGTGCTTGCCGAGGCCGGCGGCAGGCAAAGCACATGCGGGCCTTTGTTCCAGAGGGAAGAGGGGCTTGGCTCTCAGGCAATGGCGTGCAAGAAAGCTCTTCCCCTCCATAAATTGCCACGGTGCTGCAAGAGATGGAGCATTGTCACAAAGAAGAACCAGCACTGGGTCCCACTGTCACTGCCTGCTGTGGCCTCCCCATAGGGAGCAGGGTCGGGCTGCTCGTGTGCGCGGGAGCAGCGCAGACGCAGATTTGGGGTGATTTTGACTGAGCATCCGATAGAGACTTTGATTTCAATGCCAGACAGGAGGAACCCACTTACCATTCCATGTGCAGAAACGAGAGCTGTAACAAACTTACATGTTTACGGTATTTCTCTGGCTGAATCTATATATATATATAAAGAATAAAAATACCCTCTTCCCTAGGTAAATGACATGCATTACCCCTTGACCTAGACACTAGAACAGAGGATCTAAATTCAAGCCTTCCGCCTCCCCACCCTCTCCAAAAAGCTCAAACGAGAACCAACCTAGGTGCATCTAACAGTTGTAAATAGAAAATACTACATAGAGAAATATATTTGAAATCTGTTTCAGTTTCTGGATGGTCACTGGCCGTCCCCTGCAATGTTATTGATAGTACACTGTGGTGCTTTGGGTTTCTGGTTTTGTTCTCTTTATGCTCTGTCATCTTTTCATTGCAGCTACATTTCAGGGAACATGTATATTTAGTAGCTATTGTAAGTTCTGCATGGCATCACCAAGCTTATTTTTCCTTAAGAAGAACAGAAGAGGCTGTAGGAGTTTCAAGGCACTATTGACGACAGGGACTCGTAGCAGAGAATTTAACACAAAAAAAATATATATAAAAAAAAAAGGTTTTTAAAATTCTAGTTTGAAGCCAAATACCTGATATTTTAGTGCTTTTGGGGTTTTATCAGTAAGAGCAAAAAATATTTAAAAAAAAAAAGAAAAAAAAAAGGATTTTGGTAACGCAGCTGATCCGCACTTGCCAGTTTTATTATTTTGTTTCTATTGGACTGTTTGACCCCGTCAAACAAGTGTCAAAGTTGTGTGTATAAAACAAAAGAAAAAGTGTTTAAAGAAGTGTTGTAAAGACACTGAGCCTTATGAAAATATTTATGGAATTAAATAAAAAGAAGTGAAAAGGCATCTGAAGGCATTTTAAATCATTTCCCTCAGAGCGGGCTCCCGTTTCCTGCAGGCTGGGGGGGCTCCGGCAGAGCAGCCGCTAAGACACTGCTCTGCACCCAAGACATAGGTTTGTTGTGGACTTACCCCGCTTCCCCCGTGCTTTGTGTCTCCATCTGAACCGAGTGCAGTGATTGATGAGTAGCTGGAGGTCCAACCCTGGCAGAGCACGGCTGAGTGCTGGCAGGGGTTGCTCTAAGTGCAGCTCGGGGCAAGCCTGCTGCAAACGTGGCTTTAAAGCGCTTTTTGTTCCTGCACTTTGCTCAGTTCCAGCCCAAGCATGAAGAGAGCTGCATCCTCCATAGACAGCTGATCCCAAACACCTTGGGAGCAACGCAAGCAGCGTTTCAGAGCACGTGGAGGTAGAGCAGGGGGTGGGCTCTGGAGGGGAGGGAGCCTGGCCCTGTGCTGTTCCGCTGGACCAGGGCTGGACCTGGGGAGAGAGGAGCAGGTTCCTGCCCTGGTTTTTCCCTTGGCAAGTGCCTGCAGGCAGAAGGAGCTGGGTGCTTCACCTCTGAAAGGCGGAGTGCTCTCTCCAGAAACCCTTTACCAGGTAAGACAGTCCTGTATTTCTAGGTAGCCCAAAATACAGTTGCACCCAAGGAAGCAGGTTATGGCATCACAGTGCCCGGACCCAGCAGAGCTTGGGAACAATGCCTTGGTGTTGTGTGGAGAAGCACAGGCACACGTACCGAGTTACAGTCAATGACTGCAGCCAAAGAGGTAGGTTTCCCTGACTTTCTGCTTGTTCCTGCCTGTCCTGCAGGTGCCTGCCTGGGTGAGCAGTGCCAGTTTGCTGGCACGTGGACTGACCACATGGAAGCTAGATTAGGAAACAAGTCAGACAAGGAAACAAACCCAAGGCAGCTCTGCTGTGGGAGAGAGAGAGTAGAGAGGCAAAGATGTGAGCACGAAGGCTTCTGTGGAGCCAGAGTTAGAGCAGGTCCAGGCACTGGCTCACCCAGACCTCAAACATCTCAGCTTCACATTTGCCTCCTGCTTCAGCAATACCCCAACAAGCCAAGCTTTTTTGCTTACCTTATTGCTTGCAGTGGAGAGCTGGTGCTGTGCTGTCCAGATGATCTTGGTCCTTTTGTCACCTGGGAGGTTCCAAAGTGTGCTGCTGGGAGAGCAGACCCAAAAAGCGGTTACGTACAAAACCTCCCTTGAAGAAGCCCTCTCCTACCCCCACCGCCTTCTTTGCAGGCCAAAAGAGTTGTTTGCCAGAATTGTGCACTCCACATTTGCAAATGGGAGCTGTGGGGAAGGAGGGGTTGCAGGCAGGGAGCCGTGCGCATTGCCCAAGATGCGTAATGGACCAAGAAAAGCTCTCACAGGGAATGGGGAAGAAACCCGGTCACTCAGCACGTGTGCTGGGAGCAAGAGCAGCACTGAAGCTGGCTCAAGCAATAACTGATCTCTGTGCCCGTGCCCTGGCTTGCTTTCCTGGTGGTGGCTGGAGAGAAGAGCACTCCATGGCCACAAAGGCCCCCCGCAACCTGTGGCTGACAGTCACCTTAGGTATGTCATTTAATAACAGTGTTTGCTTGGTTTTAATCCTCTCCAGCCACCCAGCATTCAGCTACTAAGAACTCTGGTCGCATAAAACCAAAACCAAAGAAACCCAGTTTCAAACCCATTTGTCTCAGGGCACTAGGTTCATCAGGGTAACACCCCAAAGAACCAAAAAGGTAGCAGCAGGGACACACCAGCTGGTGCCTGAGCCCTCGCTTAGAAACTCACTTCAACACATGCTCGAGTCCACCATTTTCCACCAAAGCTGTTACTCCATTCACAGCAAAGTGCAGAATTCGGCCCTCAGTGAATGGTGATGGGTAGGGAAATGACTTTGACTTACCACCTGTGTTCCTGTGCCTGTCGTTGGTCTGTCGTGGTGCTTCACCTGCTGCCTGTGCGGTTGTCCGGCTGTGTGGCTGTTGTGCAGCATCCGTGGGAAAGCCTCCACGGGCAGAGCCAGGCCCTGGCTCTGCCTGGGAACTGCAATAGAAGGGGTAAAGCTTTTAGGCTGATATGTCCGTGACATGACTGGAACGTTGTATGAATGAATCTGAACATCAAAGCCATCTCAGTGTTATCCATGTGTGTATATCCGTGGTATCACAGCTGAGCTTCTGCTTTTTAAGGAATCAGGCTTTCAATCTGACTGATGGTGCTGGGATTACAGATCCCAGTCTTCCCAAACAATAGATTTTCTTGTTATTCGGTAGCTAAGAAGCACACAGGTTTTGCACTAAGCACAGCAGGAGGTCAGCATCCTCCAAAGCGTGTAATGCACCATCTGTGCTGGGGTTCTAAAGAGCAAACTGGAATTGCACGTTGCTGGGGATGCAGCAGGAATAACCGGCATTTTCAAGAGCGTTTCTAAGCACTGTCCATCGAGGGTTTCACAATCCTTCCCTGCCAAGGAAGGACAGGAGCTGTTTAACTGCAAGTATAACCTCCCCAAACCTGAACGTGTTCATTTGTCTGAACCCCTTACCTTTGCTATGGAAACGGGCTACACGGTATTTCTTAAATGCTTTTAATGTTCACATCCTTTTTTTTTCCAGCTCACTCCAGGCACAATGCATCCTGGTGAAGACTTGCACCTTTCTCATTTCAGAGCCACAGTAATTTGTCACCTCTTGCAGGTTTGACAGGGCCTCTGCGCTCGGCCCTTTCCGCAGGCTGGGCTGAGCAGCAGCGATGGCTCAAAACTGGTTTCCCCATTCCAACCATTCCCAACCCTCCCTCCAGCACCTCACTGTCCACACACCAGCCACAGCCGGTCTGCACGTTGTCTGAGAGCCACAGAGCGCTCTCCTCTTCTCTCAGTACTGGTTACAGCAGCAACAAATGGTCCCCAAGACACAGCCACTGTGGGGATTGTGTTTCTCATTTAGGAGAGGATGTAAGGGTGTTGAACCCTTGCAGAGACGTTTGCCTCATACAGACAACATCAGCGCTTGGAGAAGCGCTTGGGCCGAGGCACCGTCAGCGCTGGCTGCCTCTGCTGGTAACCACGCTCCGAGTGCAGATGAGGCTGTGCACACACAGGGCTGTGCTCACATCTTCTCCTGCCCTTCTGCTCTAACAGCAGAGAGCTGTAACAGTGCAGCTGGAGCCCGCCTGGCTGTTACACCCCTTGTACAGCTCGAGGGGAACACACGCACGGGTTTGCAAGGATCTGGGTTTTTCAGAACAAACCATGGTGCTAAATCGGTTCATAAATTACCTCTGAGAATTGAGGCTCCAAGGGGCTTCCTGGCTGCTCCTGGAAGGCAGGAGAAGCTCTCTCCAGGAGAGGTTTGTTGTAGTTTTCCATCTGGAGAAGCAATAAGAGGATATGTTGGTACATTTGCTTCTCCTCTCAGCTCACTTTCATGCAGCAATGACCCAGAGGGTGTGCAGGTTTGCATTCAAGCCTTTACACGTTTGCAGGACATCAGAGAGCAGGAGGCCCTCACCCATAGCATGGTGGGGGGGTGATGCCAAAGAAGTAATGGCCATTATCCAAGCACAGGGTCGGGGCCCCTCTTACCTGTACAGAAGCCACGAGAGACTCCTTTGAATCAGTGGGGTTTTTTCCCTAGAACTGTGTAACTGAGGTGAATAAGAAAAAGAATCCCATTCCTGACTGTTGTCTGCACTGATACAAACTGGAACAACCTCAGTGACCTACCACAGACTTACTTATTGCAGGTGTTACTGAAAGCAGTGCTTGATCCAACAGGTTAGTGACTGGACTGATCCAGACTGGAAATGCTTGGCAATAGTTTACCTCTTCCTCCTAAAGACAGTGATTTCAAGGCAGGTTTTATCTAGGCTGGGCTGATATCAAATCACATTCACTGCAGAACACTCCAGAAGTGTGAAGAGTGCAGCAGGTTTGAACAAATAAGTCATTTACAGAATGAAGTCACTGCTGTTATCTCAGCAAGTCCTCTGTCACCGGCTCTTTCTTCACCCAGGCAAGAGCTGGCCTGTCAGGATGAATGGGCTGAGCAGAGCTTTGTTGAGCCATATTGCCCAGGTCCCTTTAATATCACTTTGATGCCAGCTGACCTGGACATGGGAAAGCTTTCCCACCATCAATCACTCCTGTGCAGGGCTTCTTTGGAGTCTAAGTTATTTTAGCACATCTTACAGTGGAATTTAGCTTTCAGTTTGGCTGAAACACTGCGGTGTTGGTGTCCATGGCCAGCACTCCCAGGGGACACCCAAGCAAGTGACACAAAAACCTGTGGCAGTCAAAGAGAGCCCAGCTCCAACAGGCAAAAGCACTGGTGCCTGTTCCATGGGTGGGTGCTGGGGGGTCAGGAACAGGGAGGGTTAATCTCTCATCCTGCCAAGGGGAGCTGTAACGCTGCCACGAGCCTTAATGGAGCCCTTACCCTGCAGGCTGATTTTGTGGGGGAATATGTGACCAATGCACTGATTTCCTCAAAGTTTCACTCCCCCACAGATACGGGGCAGCAAGAGAGGAGTCCCTGGCCAGCCCTGCTGCTGCGGTGGTTTCACGCTATACAAAGGAAATCCAGAGTCTTTGGACCGGGAAAAGAAAATAGGAGCAAACACAATATATACTCGTAGCCGAGCTGAGATGGGTGATGTGGTCTCTGGTTCTGCTCCCAAGATGGTTTGTGCCCATTCCCTAAGGACATTGAGTGTACAGGCTCCCCACAAAGCCGACTCGCCGCCTGAAGGCATCTGCTGTTTGCTGGTGACAGTAAAGGTGACTGCAAAGGTGATGCTAAAGGGGCTTTGACACACAAGGTACGTATCCAGGCAGGATACCTGCCCCAGCCTGGATTCTGGTTGCTCGTCAGGTGTGGGCAGGATCACTGGGACCAAAAGGAAATGGATGGAGAAGAGCAAGAACTTTGCACTGCAGAGCAGGGGCTGACTAACGGTGTGGGGCCGGCTGTGCGTGCAGCCAGGATGTGTCATGCTGCTGTTATCCGTGTCGCTGGTGCAGTTACTGGCCTGATTTTTACTGTCTGGATGTACTATTAAACAAGTTTGATTTTGTTGCCTGATTACAGATGAGTGGTTTCAGCCTCATGCATAACCTGGGGGCTCTGTTCATGACATCCCTGGACAGGGAGAAGCAGGTTGGTTGTTGTGTGTGGATGCAACATGGGTTTATACTGGAGTGGAGAATAACAGCACTTACTTGGCAATGGGAAACAAAGGGTTGGGTTTTCCCACCTGCTTCTTGCACCTTGGCCATGCTGATCCTGCTGAGTAACAAGCCCACTGGATACTGGGCTGTGTTCAGGCTGTCTCCTGTGGGGAGCAAAGAAGAAATCAGAGCACATACTCAAGAAGCAGCACCCACGTTCACTGTTAAAGTGCTCCTTCACACCCCCCAGACAGACCCGTTTTGAGTTTGCAGGGTCAGGAGCTACCGGGAATGGTTTGCAGTTAGGGAATAACAGGTCCCCAAGAAGCCAGAGGTAAGAACCCCAGGGAAGAGCAATGTGGAGGCTGCTCAGTGCTGGCTTTGCCCTCACTCTGGAATTCTTTCATCTTTTCATTAAGAGGCATGTTAGCAATACCCAGTCATGCTTGCTCTGCACCAAACGCCAACAGAAAGTTTCTGCTGGAAGAGAAAGGCTAATATAAACCACTGTAGAAATGCAGTTTGAATTCTACCCCCTGGGCTGTAATTCCTGTGCTGTTCCCAGGCTGGAAGATGAGAAATTCAGAGAGGGCAGCACAAAGAGGGCACTGCTTCAGTGACAGGGGTTATTTATACCTGTGCCAAACTAGCGTGAGCTGTTGGTAACAGCAGGGGCCGTTCACTTTGATCTGCTGACACGTACAACCGCTGCCAGGTGTGCAAAGAGTCTGAAGACCAACAGCAATATTGCGATGGGCTATCCCCCTGCCAACGGCAACAGAAGGGTTCAATAAATAACCCTGTCTCTGCGGTGTTTCTGCCCAAACACTGCGGCCCAGACCCTTCATGTGAAACTAAGCATAAGGAACCAGGCAGCAGAGCAGCTCAGGGTCACTGTCCCTGCCCGCTCTAGCGGAGCACTCGGAGCTAACAGTGGGCAGATTACAGGCCAAGTGAGCTGTAAAATGACTCAGCAAATGAAGGCAGTACTGATGTCGAGGACTGCTTGGCTAAGTAAAACACGCTGATTTTAAAGTGTGCTTTTTAATTGTTCCTCTTGACTCACGGCTCGTATCAATTTAAAGCTGCTCTTGCAGAAGCGCTGTTGTTGTTTGACTCCTGAGAATCAGTGCTAAAGCCAGTGATGGATTAGACTGAGGTGGTGGGAAGGGGACGGTGTGTTCGGGACAGCATTTCAAACATGCCAGCGCTCATCAGGGTGTGACAGGAACAGAAAGGCTGAGGGCTCGACAAGATGAACAAAGCCAGGAGCGAGCAAAGAGAACACGGTGCAGAGACCAGTGTCTGCTGCAGCACCCTGAGCACCCTGCACAACATGGGTGCTGGGTGCACCCAAACTGCTGCACTGGATGTGTGACGCCACCACCCTGCTCTGCAGAAGCAATGAGTGGTTGAGATTTAGTCCTGGAGAGACTGACACACAGTGGGCCCCAAAGAGCAGCCGGTGCCCAGCACCCTGGGTCCCCATGGCCAGCCAGGCTGAGGCGATGCCTGAAGCCATGTTCTCCACCTGCCTTCCTGGTTTACATCCTTACCCCTGTGCCCCTCTTGCTGGGGGCAGAATCACAGCATCACAGACTGGTCTGGGTTGGAAGGGACCTCAAAGACCATCCCTGCCACCCTGTGCAGTGTGTCTGAATGGACCCAGCCAAGTCCCATGCAGCCTCCTCTTCCCCATAGGGGAGCACTGGACTGACGGACCTGTAGCTTTAAACTTACAAATCCATGTATTTCTTCCCTTCTTTTTTCATTTTCTTCTTTTCCTTTCCTCTCTCTCTTCTAGTTCCTCTCCTTCCTTTCTTCCCTTTCCTTTCCTCTTTGCTTTTATGATTTCCTTAGATATCTAATCCATTGTCCCGACACATCTTGCTAGTACAGCTCATTCAGGAAGCCTGGAGTTCTGTGTTCCCCTGCCCTGACCAGCACTGGGAGCTGTAAGCCCTTCAGCAGTGAGGTGATTCACGATCAATCTCCTCGCTTTCTACTTGTGATTTTTAACAAGTGCTGCAATTCATGGACAAAAACTCCTCTTCTTCACTATCTCCCAGCTCGACGCCATTACACAAATAGAGCTCAGGGTGTGCATTCACCTGCGACAAGGATGTTGCTGTATGTTAGCGCCTGGCCATTAGTTGTAGCAGCGGAAACAAAGCCATGCACGAGTCATTTAAACAGCAGCATTTCTCCCAGTGACATTATTCCCTGTTATTCATGCAGTGGTGAACAGGAGCCTGGCACGGATTGGGAAAGCTCCGTGTGCACACACACCCGCATCTCTTCATTTCAGTAGTGAGGAAAATGAGCACACCAAGGTGTGAGGGTGCCCCGGCACTGCCTGCCACAGGGAGCACATCACAGCTTCTGAGTTCACCTCTCATGTCCCCCCAAACCCCTCCTCACCTTGCCCCTGCCCAAGTGGTACAGTACAAGCTGATAAGGTTGCGCCTGGGTTAAGGACACCCCTAGCATCAGCTGTTTGGGTTTCATGGTGTGATTCAAATGCAATGGGAGGGCAGTCAATGGCATGATCAGAGCTCTTTTAAATTCAGAATCAGTGTGATGGAGCCTAGATCCCAGCTAGACAGAACAACGGGAACAATGTACCACTTGAGCAGGCAATGCCAGCCCTGCTCCACAGCCTCCTCATCTCACCTCTCACTGGAGAAAGCAGTGTGATAAGAGGCCCTTTGGTTTGCAGGGCTCTTGGCTTCCACTTGCAAACTCCTTTCCAGCCCAAGCTCTGCTAGCTATCATCTCGTATAGTGCATCAATCATTGCCAGTCTCCATTTCCAACTGGAACATGGTGCCTCCCCGCAGCCAGTTCCCGAGCATTTCTCTGTGCACGTCCCTCCAGACCTGGAGCAGGTTTCCATAAGGATCTGCAAGGCTCCCACCCTCGAAACCATCTCTTGCTGTGTACAGAGGGTGTTATCTCTCTCCTGCTTTTCATCCTGAGCATTTTCTCTCTCTCTGCTCTCACTGTAGCTGAGTTTCCATTAAGCAGTGCCAGGCAGGCATGGAAGTGTCAGGAGCACTGCAAATCAGCAGTGAGGCAGGCACAGAGTGCAGACTGCTCCTGCTGATGGTGGGAAAAGGCACCATGTGGAGGACGAGGGATGCGGTGGCACCTGGAGGTACCAAGCTGCTGGCACGTGGTGCCTCGCGAAAGACATTTGTAAGCTCCTGCTCATAGGAATAAACTCCGTGCTCTGGGGCTCAGCGAGCAGCACTGAGCAATCCGTTAGGAACTCTGACAACAAAGGACAGCAGGGAGAGGAAAAAGCGTATCTCAAACTAGATTGCAAGCAGGAGCTCCCTTAGGATAACTTAGGGATGAGCAAACCTCCTCTCATGAGTCACAGAGAACCAGCCAAACGATAGAGTCATTTAGGTTGGAAAAGGCCTCTAAGATCAAATCTGTGGCCCTGGCCCATCTCCCCTCATTCCTGGGCTGCAGCAGTGGCTCGCACCCACACTTCTTCCATGCCAAGGTTTCTGTTAGCAGTATGACACAGCCAGGTCCTATGGCCAGAGAGAAATACCATGAACGCCCTGTTGGCTGCAACTGTGAGGCGAGCACTGACCTCAGGAAAGGTGCTGGAGCTTTGTTCTCACCAGGCAAAGCCCCACTGAAGATGAACTGAGCCAAAGCTGGCAGCAGCAGCAGAGGAAGAGCCTCCTTCACGTCCACGTGGAATCTTCCTCTGAATTAACCAGGCAACCACCAGGATCTGATCTTGGTGCTTTTGTCCACATTAGAAACTCTGTGTTCAGTTTTGACTCTCCCGCACACATCACATCCGCACTCAGCCTCCTCTCAGCTTTCACTGCAGACTTCCCTCCTTCCTTTCACCACGCTCTAGCCAAATCCCTCCCAGGCACAAGCCCTGGTAAAGTCACTCAGGATGCAGAGGGATGGATCCGCTCTCGCCTCGGGCAGCCCAGCTTCACTCGGAGCTGAGAAGTGGGGGACAAGCAGGGAGCTTCTGCATCCTCCTCGGTGAGAAGTGAGGCAGGGATTTGTGCTTTCGGGATGTGCTGCACCCACATATTCCCAGTTTTGTCAAGGTTATAAACCAGCTCCTCCCCCTTCATCCTCCCCTCACCAGAGTCACTCAGGGTTTTACTGCTGACTTGCAGGATTTCAGCCTTTCTCAGGAAATAAAACTCCAGTCCAAGCAGCAAATGCATTTCAGAGCAGCTTTGGTCCCTACTAGGAAAAAAACCAAACCGACACCCTGCATCAAATGCTGCAGGAAGAACATGGGTGCTTAGGCAGCAGCATGGCTGCCTGGGAACGGTGGTATCTCACGTGTACTCTATTGAGCTAAAAATAAGTTCATTAAAGGAAACAAAGTCTGCATCCAACAAAGATGTGAGAAGCACAATGGCGAAGAGATGACTCCACAAGGAAAGAGGAGAAAGCCCCTTTGCCCGGGCTGTGTGCTGAAACCACAGAAGGGGTGAGGTTCTGCTGCTGAGAAACACAAGGGGTTTAGGAACTGAGTGCATTATAAATAATATGGTCAGGAAACCCTGGCCTACAGCAAAGCTCACATCATTACCACACAGAACTCAAAGAAAGGGCTACATCAGATGAGGCTTACTCATGGTTGTACTAAATTCTTAGACAATTGAACCTCATGCTTGGGACTGCTCCTTCAGCGTGTGCTTAAGCAAAGCTGTCCCACACTCGCCCTGCCGGGCACATCTAAACTTAGCCCCGTTGGCTGGGTAAGAGTTGCACAATCCAGCCACAAATTGGCAGATCCAATGGATGGTGCTTGACATTGTCCAAAAGGCCTTGGTTCCCACTCAAAAATAAAGCTGCTCTGGAGACTAGGACTTGGCAGAAGAACAAGTGAAGCCCCAAAATAGTGCATGGCTGTGCGCTTGCGGTACGGAAAGTGCTCAGTGATTTAATGAGCCTGTGCTCATGAAAAGCAAGTTTTTAGTGCTCTCTCCTCCAAATGTTCATCTTGCCAAATGTGAAGATAATGCATTTCCAGATGCCTGAACTCTTCCTAGGGCCCAAACAGCATCACAATAGCAATAATCACAAGTGTCAGTACTTCACAGTCCTTACATCTGCATCAACGCGGGTTGTCCTCTGACACCACTCAGAGAAGCCCGTGTTGAAAA